CCCCCCCTTCCCTTCCTCTATCAGGTAGCGGTTTCTCAGCAGAAGGATGCCGCTGGTGAAGCGCACCATCGAGCCCAGGCACCTGTGCCACACGGTGCTGCCAAGAAACATCAAAAACGAGCTGGAATGTGTGACTAACATCTCCTTGGCCAACGTCATCCGCCAGCTCAGCAGCCTCAGTCAGTAACCTGAGGACACTCGTGTACAGACACATGTGTTCTTTCATAATTTAAACAGACACGGCACACTATACATACACAGACTTGCTTCCTTTAAGTATAATAACTTTTATGAAATTTGTTTATATTGGCAGTGAGGTTGTTCCATACTTTAAGACTGAGATATTTGCACTGCACACAATTGTAGTTTAAGTAGTATGTGCGGTTTTTGATTCTTGACTCTTTAGAAAGCTCTAAAAATCTACCAACATGCCTGAGTGTAAATCATCTCATTCGCAGTATATTTTGGTCGCCATAGTTTGTGATGAATTCATTTGTGCTAGGAAGTTTGAGAAAACATTTTGCGTATTGCAGCATATGTTTATGACTCACAGGCCATGGCATGAATCCACTTCATTTTATAGAAGCTAAAAAATTAATTCAGTGCATGAAATAAATGGTGGGTGATAATGTAAAATCACCGCCTACATTTAGCAGGGCAGAAACTGGGATGTACACTGATGTATAAGTGAACCTGGCTGAAATGTATTAGCATAAAGAAAATGTTGGCAGAAAGTAATAGTTTTATCATTCTGGCTTAATCTACACCATTTTTTCTTTCTTTCTTTTTTTTTAAATTAAATTTTGGTATCACACATCAATGCTTACGTCTCTTTCAAAGCAGTCAGGCAGCACCTTTATGTCCCTAATGGCTTTCCACCTCACCAGTAAGCCAGTGTTTCCCCTACTATCATTAACTGCACAGCTCAGGCAAAGGAAAGACGTCTGTCTGTCTATCTGTCAGAAAAACTATGCAAAAACTATGGTGCCAAATTCCATGAAAACTGGTAAAGCAGTTGAACAAAGACAAAGAGGGAATCCACAGAATTTTGGAGAAGATTTGCATATCTTTCTTTAAAATTGCAAAGCAAGCCATTGCCTTCAGTGGAAAATAGAGAATGGGGAAGAAAGATGTTTTAAGTGAAAGGTGGTGTTGTTTTTGGTGCCAGATGGGCTGGTGCGAGCGTTTCAGAAACTGCTGATCTACTGCAATTTTCCCGCACAACCATCTCTAGGGTTTACGGAGAATGGTCCAAAAAAGAGAAATTAGCCAATGAGCGTCAGTTATCTGACTGTCAGAGGACAGTGACTGTTTTAAGCCAAAGGGAAAGAAACAGTACCTCAAATACCCACTCATTATAGCCACGGTATGCAGAAGACACACTCCAGGAAACTGAGTGTCACTTAAACACCACAGCCTGCCTGAGTATTGTTGCTGATCTTCTGATGGTTGTTTCCAGCAGCCGTGTCACAAAGTTTAAATCATCTCATCTGGTTTCTTAAGTGTAACAAGAAGTTCGCTTTACATAAAAATTACCTCCACAGCCACCAGTTGAATACCTTTCGGCTCTTAATATCTTTAAAATAAATATATTTAATCAAGTTACTCAGTCCATTTCAGTACTTATTTTCATCTCAGTGTTTTTCAATTCTGTGTGTGCCTAGGTAAATATGCAGAGGACCTGTTTGGAGAGCTCTTCAATGAAGCACACTCCTTTTCTTTCCGGGTCAACTCCCTGCAGGAGCGCGTGGACCGCCTCTCCATCAGTGTCACACAGCTGGACCCCAAAGAAGAGGAACGTGAGTGTTGTACCCACACAAGCCGTTTCACACACCACATCCCATTCTTTTGGAATTTCTTCTTACTTTGATTTGTGTGTCTGTAAGACAGCTCTGTGTATGTGTACATGTGCCTATTGGATGATGAAACAGAATCTCCTCCACTAATATTAAACACAAATCCCCCCCCCCTCCAGTGGTGAAAACCCAGGCCAGTAAAAAAAAAAGTTTCTTTACCCAATAAAGTTTTTATGTGAGGAGAAATCCAGTGGTTAGACTGTAGCTTCTGTTAGCAGTAACGAAAATGGAATGTGATCATCTGTGGGACTGTCAGGTAATCTAGGTTATCCTGAGAAAGGGTAGGCAGGATGACACAATAGGGTATCTAGTGGGGAATGCGTTGCAAACTAAAAGGGGAGAGAATCATAGCAGTATAATACCACGCTCCAAGGCGCCATATCAATTTCCTGTGGGCCAGCGGTGTGTTTACGGCTTTGCACAATGCTACTGTAACTGCTGCCTTGTCACTGACAGAGACGGTAAAATGCTCACTCAGTTGTACTCACTCCTTATAACTTTTCTGTGAATGCAACCAAAGACTTTTTTTTTTTGTTAAACAAGGCAATGAATTGTTTCGCTTTTTGTGCAGAATTATAGGTTTTTATTTTAAACACAGATAGACTGTAGACTGCACATTCCAATCTTCACTTCGTGCAATGATACCTTGACATTAACCAAATCACTTTAAACTCTTCTTCTTTTTTTTTAATCAACACCATTTTCACCTTTTTCCTTCATCATCTCCTCACAGCTGTTCCCCATCCTGTCAGCACCCTTTATCCTCAGCATGTCCGCATATAGTATCTGTGCGGATTGGATAATTGCAAGTGATCTAATTGTAGAAGCCTGTTGTGCAGGTCTTTGCTGGGAAGGGAGATGTTTTTGTGTGCAGAGGTTGGAGGGGAAACACGTGTGGGCTAACACGCACTCCTCAAAAGGTTCACTGTCTTAGCCTGCAGAGAATGAACTATAAATATTTATTATTTTAGAGACACATCTATGGATTTACTTTGGGAAATACCCAAGAAAAAACGAAGTCAATCTTTGTATCATTTAAGCAAAAGATTAGTAGCTCCTATTCATGTGATGTTACTGTGATTGAATTGATAAATATGTGATTATGATTTTGTCTTTATTCACTGTGTGCATGTGGTCCATGGTCTTATCTCCCCTCACATACAAGCCTGACTTATCCTATTTTAGCTCAGTATTGGCTTGAGAGACAATGGATAAGAATCAGCTCAGTTGCAGTTTAAGTGTGTGGTGGTGGTGGTGGGGGAGAGCTGGAGGGGTGGAGAGTAAGAAAAATGGAAGGATAGAGGGATGGGTGCATAATACAGGACACTGCAGCAAAAACCAGTGGTGTGTAAAAGGACTGTACCGCAGAATTTTCTGGGCCAGGTTGAAATGGCCTCCTCTGCAGGTTACAGAGATTTCCCACTCAGTTCAGCTCGTCAGTATTCATTTGTTACCAAGAGAAAATTGTCTTTGAATCAAAAAGCCCACACTTACTGTTCTCTCGTAATATGTTAATAACTGATTAGTGAAATCAAGTTATAAAACGGCAAACTAAGCGAGTATGCTATGACTGCACAGGAGATGATCAGTTGTGTGAAGATTTTAGGTTTTTTGTAAACACGACCCTGCATTTACCACCTCCCTTTCCCCTTTCTGTACCCATTCATGGTCAAAGACACACCACAGTTCAACTGTATGCTTTTAGAGTAAGCACATAGCTTGCTTTGTAATATGGCGAGTGTGTGTTTCCGCCTTGTGGTTGCCATGAGAAGGAGGTGTGAAGGAGAGGAGAATGAGTGCACAAAGGGATTGGACCATAAATCAGGACAGTGAAGGAATAAAGATAGGGTGGAGGATGGGGCTCAGGCAAGGTAGAGGAGTGCACTTATATTTTACAGATGCTGTCCACAAAACCACAACAAGTTTCTGTGAGACTATTTAAAACCTTTTATGAGCTATTAGCAATTGGTGCTACTGAACTTAGTGCACACATACTGTAATTTGTGATTAAGTTATGATCATGTTCAGTGCTAATACTTTTAATTTGCCAGGCATAATCAGTGTTGCAATAATTATTACAGGATTTGTAAATATGTGAAATATTGAGTTTTTCATATTAAAGTTTTCAGATCTTGAATTGTTTGTGATGGTTCTCAGGCACCCGGGTCAAGGTAGTCTATAGTGATGGTAGTCTAAATAATGAACCATCAAAGTTCTTAGACTCTTGATTTGAGGTTTAAACAATAAAAAAAGTGTATGTTTAAAAAAAAAAATGTAAATCTCACATTAGCTTTACCAGAGGGGTCATGGTTAGCAATGATGCAGGGAAACACCATAAATGTGTACTATGGTAGGCATAACATTTTTTTAAGCACTTCTGCCACCTCTGCCAATATACATAATCTGCGCCTGACAGAAAGAGAATGACTGCTTTAATAAAAAAGAGCTTGTATGCAGGCCATTTATTATATAATTAAAGGTTTGGTTCCATCCCTGTTACCTTAATGGTGTTATAGCTGTACTTAAAATAAGATGAGATATTTGGGTTTTGTTAGATTAGCACCTTTCACTGAATCATAATTAATATTTTTACACCCAAGGGCTAAATTTAAACCTTTTGCGCACAGAGGATGGCAAGTGTTGGTTTAATAATACCTGTGATGAGCAGACACATCCTATTGTTTCTGTGTATATGTACATAAGGAGCTTGTAGGGGTCTAAATGAGCTTTGCCGCTTAAAGACATACAGTATAAATCGTAAGGAAAAGGGGTGAAGGAAAGTAGGTGACTTAAAAGAAGTTCAGCTGAAGGTCGCAGAGAAATGTGGGATGAAGGAATGGTCATAGTGATGTATGCAGTGCCACTGCTGGTGCAGTGGTTAAGGTCAAAGAGTTTTATATTACATGAATTTATATACACTATGTTAAGACACACACACACACACTCACACACTCACACACTCACACACACACACACACACACACACACACACACACTCATAGCTTGCCCACATCCTGTAGGCTTTTCAAAGGGTACTCTGCCCTTTAGACCTCAGTTGCCACTCCCCTTTTTGTCTCTGTCTGCATTGCCCCCTGCACCCCTCTGTCTTTGTTGGCCTCCTCACTCTCATCTCTCTGATTGATCTCTGCTCTTCCTCCATCTTGCGTGGATGCTATTTGTGTGCTGTCAGGCTCTCTTCCCCCTATCACTGTAGCCAGCCAAACTAATGGCCTGTATCCCCTATTTAATGGCCCCGTTATATCATTGCCCTGGCTGCGGGCCATTATGGAAGGCCACAAAGCCACCCCAAGTCCCTGTGCACTTTTCTATATGTGCCGTCTTATTCCATTTCTCGCTTCCCCTATTAGTACTTCTCATCTGTTTACTTGTGTACCTATTTTATACATGGTTTATATTTCCTCTATCACCAGTTTTCTTTTCTAACATGATTTTTTTGATCGTTTTGTATTTGCTTTTCTCTCTTTTACTTCAGTTTTTTTTAGTTGCTTGTTAACCTTCCCTGACTCCTCTCTCTCTGTTACATCACTTTTCTTGTTCTCGCCTTTGATCTTTCCTCAAATTTTTATCATTTTATCCTTTACAAAGTACTACATGTGTACAGAGTATATAAAGGTAGAGCATAAAAAAAAGGCTAAATTGTTTTCTCCGAAGCTCCCATTTGTTGTTGTTGTTGTTTTGTCTCCATTTCCCATTGTGTTTAGTGTATCAAATGGTCAGATCTATAGTATACACATCCCTGAGAATCGCAGGGAAAATAATGTTCAGATTGAGTTTTTTTTCTCATTTATGTCCTCTTCTTTTGTTATGTATACATATATTTATGTATCCCCCATGGTGGCACTTCTTGGCTCACAACAAGAAGGTCCTGGGGTCTAATCCACCCTGACTAGGACCTTTTGGTGTGGGGTTTGCATGTTCTCTTGGTGCTTGTGAGGTGCTCTCTATGTCTACTCTAGGTCAAATAGTTGTACAGCACTTTGTTTGAAAGCGCTTTATGAATAAAGTTATTATTATTATTACTCTAGGTTCGTCCCAAAGTTGAAAGATGTGCTTGCTTGGTGAATTGGTGAACCTAAATGTGAATGTGCTGTTGTTTAACCCTGCGATGGGGTGTATCCCGCCTCTCATCCACGACAGTTAAGATGGTCTCATTGTGACCCTGAATTGGATAAGCGGATGGATGAATGGTTCTGTGAAGGAATGGATGATTTGAATAAAAGCCCTGATAAAGGCTTACAGGAAAGCAAAAGTGCAACCCTCAGCAGCTGAAAAGTGAGGGGTGATACACTGGGGAAAAAAACAAAACAGAAAATAAGTAATAATGCAATAAAAATGGACATAATTACAATGTATAATTTAATACTAATAATTTAATAATTAATTTTAATATACCATTATAGTCATTTTTCTATAATTCTGTCAGTGTTTATGTTTTGTGTTGTTTTTGTCTTGGAAGTACTGTATTATGAAATGTTTTTATTTGCCAGGCATTCAATTTCTTGCACTAGATGGTTTTTCTGGTCTGCCTCACCATTTATGTAGAAACCAGTGGGACATGGTCATGTGACAAAGTTTTTCTTCAGGCAGACTCAGACGATTATGCAGATGCTAAAAGAGCATTTGCACACCCAAAAGCATTATGAGTGATGACTAGCAAGCAGCCGTGATGAAAGCCTACTGAAGTCAACTCCAAACTGATAAGGTGACTTCAACAGTTTATACTTTCTTCTTAGTACACACTAGTTGACAGTGCAGTTGTGAATACTAACACGATGTCCCAGTACGAATTTCAGATGGTTGGCATGCACTTCGTGTGTCTTTTATTTGTTCTTCTTCTGCAACAGTCTGTCTCACTGCAGTACAAGACTCACTCTGTTTACTCTAAAACTGTGCATAGCACTTGTAATTTATGAGGGTTTTCTATGCACATGGAAGAACTTCTAGATAAATTTGAGTAAAGGACAAAATGAAAGACAGAGGACAAACAATAAACAAGCTTATGCAGAGAGACGGAGCAAAAACCGAATCAGGGAAAGGAAAGAGTGTGAAGAACTGCGCAGAAGGGGAAATATAGGGCAACATTTGCATTGAAGTACAACAGCGGAGGGAGACGTGCCTGCATACTAAAAGACAGTTTGGCCTGTGACTTTTCTTATCTAGTATTGCTGCGCGTAGGACTGCATGTCTATGAGATAGGGGGATGAAATGAAGAAAGAGGGAAAACATAATTTTCGTGAAACTAGGAGGGGAGCTGAAGGGAGGGGTGTGTGAGCGACAAGAACTTCCTCACCTCTCTTTAGTTGAAGTGTTTTAGACAGATGCTATCTGTTTAAGGGAAAGATATGAGGGATGGAGATAAACTTTCCAGCACTGGCTTGCTGATAAGAAGCTTCACATCCTGAGATCAGAGTCTGCTGCACCTGGTGTTGCTTGACCTAACACACACATACACGTATACACACACTCTACTTATGCCTCTGCAAGGACCCCATATCCCAATTCCTTCACGGACCCTAAAACCAAATCTTAACCCTCAAACAGTTCTTTCAAGGTTTGAGAGCATTTTGGCCACTCATCAATTGAGAGACACACACACACACACACACACACACACATACACACTCTTGCTATATCTCTCACTAATTTACTTTCATTCTCCTATACATACACTCACATTTTTCACATTAGCTAAATGTCTTCATTAAATGGGTCTAATTAGTAGTTCAGCTGAATAAATAACATTTTGTAATTAGGATGTAAAGGCTCATGTTAAGACATCCATTTGAACACGCGTGTTTGTGTGCCTTGTGTTTCTCTGCCTGCACTGATCAGTGTAGTAATCTGCACTGAAGCTCTAGCATTGCTTTGTGGAGGTTTATAGCACCTCACGCTGCATCAAATGAGTCCTGGCACAGACTTGTGCTCTGCCTCTCACTTATTTGTCGCTTTTGCACCTACTTGTCACACCATCTGACAGCCTCATGCACTTCCCTTAATTCACAGGGGCAGCAGGGCACAGTGCTCTTGCTCAGCATACAACAATACCAAATTGGCACTCACCTTTTGACCACTGCTTGTACCTGGCCCTCACAGGCTGTTATGTGGGTATAAGAGTCCTTTCTGTGGGTTTTTTCTGTACATTTGCAAGCGGGGAGTGGGAGTACTGGCATCAGCTCATGGTGCACTTTCCTGACTTTCAGCCTAACCTTCCTGTGGAACAGGGGTAGTACAAAAAAGAAATGCCCTACAGGGATCACTAAAGTATAAAATAATAAAATATCACTTTAATGTTCATAACCCTTCCCACGTCTGTATCCCTTACCTTCTCCCTTTTCAGCTAGAGAAAAACGCACTTTAATTTCTTAGATCTCAACATTACTCCTACAATTATCCCTGGCTCTTCTCTGATCACTGTGGGCAGTCAAATTGTCATGCCACTGTAGCTCTGACTTTGATTTTTTTTTTGCCCTTATCAACCCTGGTGTGTCTGATCTTGGAGCGACTGAAGTATATTATTACACCCCCGGCACAAGTGCAAGTTAAAATCTTAAAGGATTAATCTCTCTTTCAGCATGGGTTCTTATTTTTCGAGCTCTGGAGATATGCGGAGGCTGATGACTGCAGCATCGCTACAAACAAGTTAATACTAGCAGGCAGGCAACAATATTATATACACAAAAAAGCCCCACAAGTTAGACATACTCATATTTTTTTCTAAGTTAACCGTTATGTCCGTAAATCATAAACATCCATTACATACTGACTTCCTGCTCTGACTCATGCTACTGCAGTTGTGTTCAGTGTTGTGTTCATTAAATTGCTTTTTTCAGCTGATCATCAAGTCTAACGTTGCTACATTGTTCCTAGATTTCAGTAGCAAGTACATGCCCATGTTTGGTCTGTGATTTTTAGTCTGTTCTTAGGTGGTTGCTAGGCAACTTGATGGCATCATGCTATACCATGCATAATTCAAGTTTTATGGATAGAAATGCGATGTTATTGTTGTGAAACTGAAATGATGCAATGTTTTTTCTAAGGTGTTATAGGCGCATAAACTCTATAAATGGGGCATTTGAGCCATTGGTAGGTGGTTGCTAGGGATGATGATGATATCATAATGTATTGTTCAACTTTTGCGGTTATAAATAAGGTGCTATTGCCTTAAAATGAAAATGATGTGATGCTTTTATAAGTTGTTATACATTAAGAATTGCCATAAATGGGTCATTTTAGCCCATCATTAGGTAGTTGGTAGGCAACATGATGACATCATATGTCTGATGTTGATGAGTATCTTCTGGGGCTTGTTTGCCAAGTTTGGATGCTCAACTCCTCATTGTGTAGAAGGAGTTCACAGATAAATGAACAAAGAATTTGTGTATCAGTTTCTGTAGCATGTAGAGATCTGAACGTCTGGCCTGATTTGACTGCTGACAATAAAAATATTTTGGAGTTTTTCATTAGTATTGTCATTTATTCCCACTTTCATGCCAGGAAAAAATGAGCAAAGATCTTAATTTTTAAATACAACCTCAGCTCTTCATCGTCACCACAAAATTGATGTAAGAACACCCAAACTTTGAATTCAAAGACTCATCTCATCAGCCAATGCCTGGCTAACACGATGTTTTACTGATACATAAGTATTTAAATCAGCTGAATCATCGTATTTGGTGTAGTACTTTATCATAAAGATGAGAAACTATTGTCAAAACTACGAACAAGGTTGTAATAAACCAAAATCATTATTTAAAAGTTTAATCAGGTTGCATAGACAAACACTAAATACATTTTTAAATGCAAGCCACCAGGTCAGTGGGAATGTGTAAGGTACATGAGTTAATTTATATGGATAAACTTTAAAGCTACTTGTATTAGACATATAAGACAAAAATGACAGTTAAGTTGATCATGAGCTCTGGGATCCCCCCCACCCAGGTGCTCCAAATGCTATGTGTATATGCATGCAGGTACACAGCACATTTAAAATGCATGTAGTTTTTCCATAAATCTTGTAGCAGGAAGCCACAGAAGACAGATCAACCCCCTCAGTGTCATCTTGTAGCCTTTTCTGTTTAACTTGGGACAAAATGCTGTGTGCAGTATGTTTTATTTTCCCTCCTGTGTGTGTGTATCCAATATAAATGGCTGTTAAAGCTTTTCCCTTGTGCTGTCTTTGAAGCTTAATCCACCCTCTGGCTCTGCTCAGGTTACTGTGCTTCTCTGGGTCCCGGGTTTCTGTGGGATATTTTCTGTTTTTCTTATTAAAATCCTACTTGATGTGTTTATGTATCTTCTCTCTCTGTCTCTTTCTCTTTAATACGGCCCCCTCCTCTTTCGCTGCACATTCCCATGTTAGTTTTAGGTCTTTTCTCTCTTCAAATTTCCTCTCTTTTCACCATTTGTTTGCCAGTATTTCTTACGAATGGTTCTTTTATGTCAGCTGGTGCTCTTTGTTTTACTGTTGGTACATCTTTTCTCCGTCTCTGTCTGTCCCCTGTTGCCATTATACCGGCTCTGGTGTGTCCAAGTCGTTTTATTATCTCCCTCTTGCATTCTATGGCCTCCTATCTCCCTTGCAGAGTGTTACTCACCAAAGCTCAGCCTCCTCATAGTGTTTGTTCATAATGATCCTTCAGTGCCTCAGGTGGCTGGTATGTCACAACACTGACAGTCTGTGGAAGTCATTATCCAGCTGCATTGCTGCAATGTAGAGGACTGAATTGTGTTAGTAGACCCTTACTGGGCTTTATCTCATTTTGCTGAGGCAATGGTTAAATGACTGTAAGTGATTTCCTTGCAGTGTTTTTTAGATTGTACGTTCGTTCTGTCATGTTTGTTGGTCTGTCGTGCCATGACTTTTTTTTTCTTCTTCTTTTCCCGAGCTTCTTCTGGGCACCATTAAAGTACATCCATTTGTCACTTCCTCATGTATAATTCAGATCTAGTTGCAACGTTCTAGATCTCTTTCCAAGACTTTCTGTTTACCAGATTGAGGGTTAGCGTTGGTCTAGTTGTGTGTGTATGTGTCTCCCATCTTCCCTTTAGCGCTTTCTCCAGCCTGTTTTTCTGTGAGCTTCGTCTGTACAGAATTGATTTTCTTCTGTTATTTTTTTTTTTTTGCCCTCTGAAAATGTCAGTTATTCCCGGATGAAAGAAGGGCAATCATTTCTACGGTTTCTGAGAGACGACCTTAGCTTCGCCTAGCCTAGCTTATCTTGCTCATCATGTTGTTGTTTACTTTAAGGGAATTGAAGACGACCAGTTAGGACAGCAATGTAGCGTTAGCCTGAGGGAGGACGATTAGTGGTTTATAATAGGTTTAGTCTGCTGTAATGTTGATTGTGACTGTTTGATTGATGATGTCAGATTGATGATGATGATGATAATGAGGAGATGGAACCAGATGCTAATTATTGTGTTCATCAATGACATGAGAGAGACAAAGCCTGTTGGTTGGGGTGTGTGTGTGTTTTCTGAACATTGTTAGGCAGGTACAGTCAAACAGCAGTAAGCGTTGATCTTGACCTTCATAGAGGTCGCAACGTACATGTGGCAGATGCTTCACAAAGAACCTGCTTTCTTCCCCTCTCTTCTCTTCTCTCCATCTGTTTCTTCTTTCCCAGTGTCTCTTCAGGACATCACCATGAGGAAGGCCTTCAGGAGTTCTACTGTTCAGGACCAGCAGCTGTTTGATCGCACGTCTCTGCCTGTCCCACTGCAGGAGACGTACCACACCTGCGAGCAGCCCCCACCGCTCAACATCCTCACACCCTACAGGTCTGAATCCAGCCAGTTTCACTGACTCTGTGATCCTTTTTGCAAACCATTGTAACTGGTTCTATTGTATTGGGGTTTTTACTTCTCAACCATGAAAGACTGATGGGGTAATGGGGTGTTGTCATCATCCCACCAAGTGGGCAAGTGGGTAGTATGTGACACCCAAACTTGTGAACACAATAACTCAAGATTTTTAAATTAATACCACAGGTGCATTTCCTAAAAATCTCACACAAATATGAATATCGGTGATGTTGACCTCAAGTTTTCTGAAAATCTTATGAATATGACTCGAAAAACATGTCACCCAAGATTTTCAAATTTATATCACAGGTGCATTTACTAGGAGTCTAAAGGGCGGGACTGGCAACCACCAGTATTTTTATTTGTATTTTTTACAATTATAATACATGTTTAATTTAGCATTCTGGAAATGGTTTACCAAAGAAGGGGTTGTTCCTAGCAATTGCATGTTTCCCGTTAATAGAAGTTTACCCCGTGTTTTCTGTCTCTGGAGAGCGGAAAACATTAATGCGCTCGTATTCTATTGATGGGCACCAGAAGAGGCTGATTGCACCCCACTGTGTCAGCAAAAAGTACCCAAACAGTCCTCAATTACAGCTTTCATTCGGCCCATTCACTCGTATTATGGTTGTGCCTACCATTATAAAAGCTTTCATTAAACAAGACACTGATGCTCACAGTAAGCCACCACACAGTGTGATTAGAAAATGCACCCCGACTAAGATATCTGTAATCTCAAGTGGGTGGCAGCTTTACTTAAATTTAGAATGGATAAATAGTTAAACATTATTTTGTGTGGTTTGTGTCTGGACAGTTTTTTTTTGGTTGCCTTTAAAGTGTAACTCAAGAGGACACTGTTTTTTTTATTATTACTGGCAGGCTTGTCAGTCCTTGACACCAGGCATCGCTCCTGGCTCTTGTGGACAAGTAGGGGGCGAAGAGAGCAAGAAGAGCGAGGCATTTAAAGATGAATAATCCATAAAAAGTTCTGCTGGGCAGCACTTTCTCTTTTCTATTTTATGACCTTCTTACTTTGTTCCTTTTTTTTTTCATCCTCACTCTTCACTCACCTTTTCCCCTCCTTTTCTATCTAATGCTTTCCCCCTGACAGGGCCACTTGCAAAAAAGGTTAAAAGCCAAACATAATCTCTTTGTTGGTGGATGTGCTTATAGAGATGCGTGCACTGTAAGAGAGAGGTAGGCTGAGGTGTACAAACCTCGTCACTGCTGTGCTTTTAACCCGTGGGCCTTGACGTGGCCTAGACCGGGGGAGAGCCGGGTACAGGTTTCTGCTTCGCTTAAGTGCTTTGCTGTCACGCTAGTGGAAAACGAATTCTCATTTATTATTTTAAGAGGTTAACAGCTAATGTTTGAAAAACTAATTTCAACTTTCCAGTAAGTGATAGGGTAGCTTTGGGCACATAGTCCAATAGTGTGTTCGATGTAACTGCCGTTATATAGAGAACAGTTTCTCTACTAGATGTTCCTTTGAGATAAAGATTGGCATCTACAGGTGGGCAACAACAACAAAAGCAAAAAAATATGTGTAGTAAAAATATTGGGCCACTATATGTTGCATGCCTTGTAGAATCGGTGATCGGCATTGTTTTTACAAGGGTAACTGGGAAATCCTTTCCTGTGGGTTTTTTTTGTTGTTGTTGTTGTTTTTGGTGAGAATAAAGGTCATTATTTAAAACAGTGACCCTCCAAAGGGTACAGCTGGTGCCAGACTGTGAGACGGCTTAAGGTGCTGCCTTGTAAATGTGGCAGAAATATGATTTAAATAATTATTAAAGAGTCTTTATTGTTTTTATATTTTATATTTTTGCTAATCACTTAATCTTGTATTTATTTCCAGTTAATTAACATTGAAGTGATTTTTCTTTTTCAATATATACAAGCACAACAAGTCATCGGTGGGTTAAAAGAGGTTGAAATGCAGCACATCTTGTGGCCTTTATCGAGCTGAATTTTAGTTTCCACCCTCGTCAGATCTCATCTGGAGCTGCTTTTATTTATGTATTTATCTTTTGTTCATCAGCACTGGCTTAATGATTAGGATTGTCATAGGTGGTGATTTCATTCTTCTGTTTAATTATTTAAAATCTGGCCATATTTTGGGATCTTTAGAATTTGCTTTGCTGTTAGATTTCTCCCTCCTCCTCTTGTCCTTCCTCCCCCACCCCCTTTTTTTCCTGTATTTATATTCTCTCTACTAAGAGGCTCCCTAGGATACTTCCTTATGCTGTTACTTCTCAGATCCACCCTGAAAAGAGCTTCTCTTTCTCATACACAACATAAACATGCACCTCAAGTACACAAAAAAATAGCAGGCATAATAATTTACTTTAACTCTCAAAGAGTACCTGCAGTGCACACCGCAGAAGCCTTTCTTCCCTTTATTGTGTTGCATATCATTAAACTTTCCACTCTTGCCTTCTGAAGCCTCGCTTTTTCATGAACATGACATTGCCAAATAATTGACTCCCTAGGCGTGGGCAACAGCGGGTGAATGCAAGTGCTCACAGGTTCACGTTAGGACTACCGAACGGTCTGGACACACAGCCTCAGCCGACACAGTTCCTGCTCCTGGTTTGGCCGAGGTTTAAAAGGTTAAAAATAAGAGTTGTCTTTTCAGCATTCACTCGGTATCTCATCATGGGGATACTCTCTCTTGAGTAGCCTTCAGAAGCTCATATTTCTTCTCTGGGTCTGTATCAATATCCGGACACATACTTTCACACGTGGAGGTTTTAACTCATTCGAATGAAGGACAAGCTAATTCTACAGCCAGGCATCTGTCATTTGTCTGTCTATCCTTCTATAATTCACAAGGAACTTGGACACAGAGATTACCCAAATGGGACTTCATCCAAACTGTGCTGGAGGCCAGAGTCACATTTGCTGTCTTACGGGCAGTGACTTGTAAACTGAGCCAGATGAGCTGATACTCAATTCTAATTCACCCTCACGTCACCTTTCGGCTCGGCTCTATATGTGGATACCTTACTCTATTAGTGTGATGATACAGGTTTGTGTTAGACACACATTTTCAAAAAATATAGCTATGCCCATGAACAGGTGATAGGTGATAATACTTAAATACAGCTTTGCCTTTGCTAGCGAGGAGAGAATGAAGAAGAACATGATAAACGAAACCATAGTAATAATAGTATTTAGAGTAATTGGTGACTACATGCCAGAAAGATTCCATGTTTACTAGCATGGTATTTTGAAAACATTTTGGACGGATGATTTAAACAACAGTGAAAGATTTTTTGAATTTATTTGGACAAAGACATCAGCAGGGCAAATTAGTCGTACCCCATACTGATATCAAATGGCATTTCCAGGCGGCATGTTGGGGGCACCTGTGTATGATTACTTCCTTGTCCAGAGGAAACGATATTATGTGATAACTACCTGCATCTGTCAGATGTCCCTTTATGTTTCCCTCCTTATACTCGCAGCACTGATCTCGTCTAGTCACCACGAGCCACCGTGCCCTTCTGTAATGCTACTGAGGAATTCAGAAAGAGAATGAGAGTTGAATTGGGAATGAATGATAACACACACCATTAGTTATTATTCATGACAAGTGCTTGTTGTCACAGGGAACAGAGACAAAGACGAGCAGGGGCACAAGCAAATAAACATTACCCTCCTTTTTCATCCTCTGCTCTTGAGTTTCAGTGATGTTCAACTTCTGCAGCTCCCGCATTTTTGGAAACTCTTCATTTAAAAAAAAAAAGCAAATAAATCAGAATAATGACTTTTTGTTGCAGTTTGTCTTGTGCCGCCTCTCACTCTTGCCAGCCTACACTGTGAAGCACTGAAACAATTATTCAGGAGATATAAAAATAAAACCTGCAAGTATTTTGATATTTGGGTCACAGTTTTCAGGAATGGATGGCAAAATATTTTTGGGTTTTTAGCTTCTTAAACATTAGAATATTCTGCTTTAATTGGTCTTGTGTTGTCTTAGTAAAATTAAGGGGAGGAAAACATTAAAAGCTGTCACTGTGTTTAATAGATCAAATGTTTAATCAAGTAATTAGCGAGCAGATTCGCTGAAAATGAAAATAAGTTTTAGCAGCAGTAAATGCATAAAGAAAAGAAAGCGATGTTTCTTTTTTTTTTTTCTTTTAAATGAAAGGTCACATACTCCAACAGGGATTCAGAGGAAAATAAATGAGCTTTAATTTGAAATTTGCTAATCATGAATCTCAGATTCCTTGGTTTCTTTTGCTCGTCTACAGAGACGATGGAAAGGAGGGTCTAAAGTTCTACACCAATCCATCCTATTTCTTTGACCTGTGGAGAGAAAAGATGCTTCAGGACACAGAGGACAAGAGGAAGGAGAGGCGGAAACAGAAGGTAAGTCTAGAAGAATTAAAAAGCACAGGTTCGGCTGCGTTTTTGCTTTTTCACACAGCGGCTTACGAGTGCACTGCCGTAGACGGAGGCGTTTATGACTGGCACCAGCACACGGAGGTTAGCGAGTAGAAGAGCAAAAAGGCTTCACAGATACAGATTGATCTGTCCTGCTTGAATAAACTGGCAGGGTGATTCACTAATAGATTCAGAGGTCTGGCTTTATACCACACATCCAAAGGAGTTAATTAGTCACCACTCATAGATTATAAACTCTTCCCTCTGTCAACCCTCTTAGTTATTGCTTGTGTGATCATTACATCTAATTAATGGGAGCATCTGGTCTTCAGTTGCCCCTGCGCTGTGCGTCACGTCTCTTCTTCTCCACAAATAAACAGTCACTCGTAGCCTCATGAGGAATATCTATAAGCATTTGCATTCTGAGGTTGTTTTTATTTTTCAATATATTTACACAGACAAATTTAATTATGCGGCTTTGGCGCTTCCTCGCCAAGTGCTGAGTTATGAA